CTGGCCCAGGGCCCCACAAACTGTAATCCGCCTCTGCTTCCCAGTAAAAACTCACTTTTACATGCTTGTTTTACTGTTTGTGTTTCCCCGTCTCCATTTTGAATTCCACAGGGTGGGGGAGGGGGGATGCAAGGCACTGGCATGCAATCCACCATTAGCAGATGTACACTGCTTCCCAGGGTTTGCATTGGTTCATAGAGCCAAAAGCCGTCTCTCTTTCCTGTACTAAGAAATACACAAATAGAGTCAGAAACTTACCAAGCTCCAGGGCAGCTTCTCCCTCTTCCATTTCTGCTGCCAGATCCACAGTGGGCTGTTCCTCTGGGCCAGGAGGGCATCAAAAAGCTCCTCTGAGGATGGCCCCAGGATGAGTTGCTCCTGCAGCAAAGCCTCCTCTGGGACTGGTTTCATCAACAGAGTCACTTCATTTGCCTCATTCGGTGCCTGCTGCTGGCTCCCATCAATTCCCATGCTGACTACAGGGGCCAGCAGGACATCATCCCAGCTGACCAGGTCATTGTGCACCACTGATGGACCAGTCCTCAGTGCAATCCCCAGCACTGGGTCAAACTCATCATAAAATAGGTACAATGCTGGTGAGTTTCCAGAGACACATTTGTGATCTCTGGTTTTCTGGTATTTGGTCTTGATCCACTTAATCCATTCCCTGCACTAATCACCCCTATGGTAAATTTCCAGCGCCACCAGCTTCTTTGCCATTTGCTGGTATGCGTGGTCATTTCTGGTACTCTTACTAATAAAATTAATTGTTTGGTTAATCTCTCATGGCCTCACACAATAGATTAACCAAAATCAGACTGTGCTCCTGTAACCACAATGCAGCATGCTTCGTAAAGGACTTCTTCTGGTCGGTATCCATGGCAAACACTGTAGGTTCTCCGATGGTTTGTTTGCAGGTTGGCAGTCAGAATAAAATGCTAAACTGTTGTATTAGAACAAAGTGGGGTGCTTCCTTTTCCCTGGAGTCGACTGACGATTCTTGGGAGAGAGAGGACAAAGGAAGTCTGCCCACAGTAGTGTGGAGACTTTTGGTGGACTCCAAGAACCTGAGTCCCGGGGGGGTTGCATCTACACTGCAAAATGATAGGGCTCGAACCCCGGGTCCTACTTTGACTTGGGCTCAGACCCTCTACTCTCTCAGGCTCCTAGGACCCTGGGTCCAACCCTGAGAGATTTGAGTGTAGATGGAAGGGGGCTTAAGGCTTGAACCTGAGTCAGAGCCTGGGCTTACATTGCAGTGTAGACATACCCTCAGTGGTTGGATCTGGACTCAATCATATACCTACATGGCTCCTGCTGTTTTGCAGTTATCGTTCAGAGTTCTGGGTGTGGGTTGTAACCATTTTGCTGCTCTCTTCAGAGTTCCCGAAAGGAGATGAGGAAAAATGGGCCTGATTTACATTTGTAATAAGGTCCCTTTACACCACTATGGCAGTATAACAGGGCCTTAAAGTGGATGTAAATTACATTTTTATAAATTTGGTCCCTTTACACTGCCAGTGGTTGTCATAATTTCCTCCTGGAAGCATTCTGATCTCAGGTACTCTAGATTTACACTGGTGTAATTCCATTGAAATCACTGGAGTTACTCTGAGTTTACACCAGAGTGAGATGAGAATCTATGAAATTAGAATCTCTAGTCCCATGAGTCCAACTGTACAGGGCTCAGCCTCAAAGGAAGCAACAAAGACCTCTAAAAATGACCTGAAATAGCTCTTTCATGCCTAAAAATGAATGACTTTAAAGTCAAACCTCAGCCTTGCAATGTTAAAAGCAAATGCTGCTGTCCCACTGGGAAAAGGGCAAACTCTTCTTTCAAATGGCATAAAGCTCCCATTTCTAGCTCTGCAGTAGGGTGACCAGACAGAAAATGTGAAAAATCGGGATGGGGGTGGGGGGTAATAGGAACCTATATAAGAAAAAGACCCCAAAATCGGGACTGTCCCTATAAAATCAGGACATCTGGTCATCCTGCTCTGCAGGGTCATGAAGCATTGGACCTTAAACTCATCACTGGTCCAGAACTGAATCTTGCCTGTTGTGGGCCTCAGGCAACCAATATTAGGGGGAAACAAAAACATGGCATCTGTTGGAAGCTGTTAAGAAATTTGGAATGTTAGAGGTGGCCCCTTGGGAGATAAATTGGTTCTATTTTTGCATCAGAGGTGGAAAAGCAGAGAGATGGTGGATGTGTCTTGGTGTGTTTCACTGTATTTATTGCTGTAACACTCTTACTATAAAGTGGGGCCAAATGGCATCAGTAGCAAGAGGGAGACCAGGACAGAGACACATCAGGTGTAAGGCTCTTGCTGAGTGTGCTCCTCCCAGCCTGTACACTGGAGCCAGCCGGTACTGGAACTCTCGCTGCTGCTGCTCTTTATAAAGAGACAGCTCAGTTGCTACAGTTTCTGGCTACTTGGCTTGATTTGTTTCTTATTACAGCCCAGCACAGCATGACATGCAACAGATGCATTGCAACATCATCAGGGTGAGGACGTTAATCCTGTCCTCTCAGGGAACACAGGTGGGAGTGTACGAGTGTAAATTGTAAACACTTGTGATATGTGTCCTGCCTTTTGAGCCCCAAAAGCAGGGGGATCTGCTGGACTTGAACTATTCACATATATACCGTTAGCTACATAGCTTAAGCCCTTTTTTTTGCTTCTAGCCAATATTGTTTTCAGCTTGTTACCATGCTACCTGGAACTGTGATTCTGTCAGAACTGAAAGTAAACGTGGTTGAATCTAGGCAGTTTCTGGATGGGAGACCTCCAAGACAACGCTGCCGCACACATGGTGTTGATAATTTGGTAGGTGTTGCTCTTACCTCTGAGTCAGCTCCGTGCTGCTGGAGGCACAGGCTCTGGTTCTGGTTTACATTCCTCCGGCTTCATGCTGCTCTGGCAGTCCTCTGCCAACTCTGGGGCGTGGCCAGAATGAGTGGGTGCAAAACCACTAAAGAAGAGTGCTTGCAAAGCTTCTCAGCAACAGAGCATGGATTCAGAAATTTAGCAGTTGCAGAATGTAAGGGCCGAGACAGCAGCCAAATTGTCTTCTCATTCATACGCTGTGCAACCCTATTGATTTCAGTGGGATTGCACAGGATGTACATGAAGGCAGAGGTTGGACTATGTGTTCTTATAGGGGTGTAACAAAGAATAAGAACCCTGTGTGGGCTATCAGATCTGGGGCCCAGGCACACAGGAGTGAGCAGGTATTGTGCCTCTGCTTATCCTCACCCCTGAGCACATGGGCGAGGTGAGAATGGGTGAAGCGTTGGCTCTGCTCCTAACACATGAGGATAGTACAAGGACACAGTGAGACAGTACTGGTCAGCATGATCGACGTTGGCCTCCGCACACTGGCAGCCTAACCGTTGTCATGTCTTTTGCAGGCATCACAGCACAGTAAAGTTTTAAGAAAGGGTTTGCAGATGGTTACAGAGAGCACCTCCCAGGCATGAGGGGAAACAGGGGAGAAAGTACAAAAGGTGCTTGTTTGAAATTTAACACATGGGTAATGGAGGCTGGCCTCTTGGACTGGTCAGAGGCAGGAGATGACTTTTCCATACTGAATAAGAGATGATAGGTAGGGCGCTTAATTTGTGCCAGGGCTGAGCCCCGGCACCTCTAGGCTTGGCAGTTCATAGCCCCCGTGCCTCTGGGGTTGCTGCATCTGTTGTGAATGTAAAAAAATTGCTTGAGACACGGCACCTCTTTCATTACAAATTAAACCCTAGGTAGAGCTCTGTCATGAAGGGCCTGAAAGTGAAGACAAGCAGCTTGCGTTTGATACAACAGAGAAGAGGGAGTCCGTGAAAGGATATGAAGAGAGGGGTGACATGGTTAAAGAGACAGGCTAGGAAATGATCTTTGCCTTCTGAATGGATATGAAAAGGGCACAATTGCCTTTGTCAAGGCCAGAGAAAAGGATGTGGCAGTAATTGGGACGCAAGATGATAAGAAGACTGGATGAGAGTTTTAGCTGTGTGTATGGATAGAAATGGCCATATCTTAGAGATGTTAAGCAGAAAGAATCTACAAACCTGGATACGAGGACCTAGACAGAAGTCTGAATCGAAGATGACATCTGGGCTATTGGCATGAATGACAGGAAGAATGGTAGTGGTGTCCTCAGGGACTGTGAAAGGCGGTAGCGGGGAAAATTTTGGAAGAAAGATCTATGTTTTAGCCATATTTGGCCTGAGCTGAAGGCTAGACATCCACAAGGAGATGTCAGAGAGACAGGCTGCGATTTTAGTTTGACCAGAAGGAGAGAGGTCTGGAGTAGATTTGCTGTTGGTATAGGCCAGCAGCATGTTACTCCCATTGTGGAGCAAGGAGAAAAAGGAAAGGTGTTGTGCCTTAGAGAGGTTTCAGAGTAGCAGCCGTGTTAGTCTGTATCTGCAAAAAGAACAGGAGTACTTGTGGCACCTTAGAGACTAACAAATTTATTAGAGCATAAGCTGAGCCATTACAAACATTGAATCTATCTCCCCTTGTAAGTATTCTCACACTTCTTATCAAACTGTCTGTACTGAGCTATCTTGATGATCACTTCAAAAGTTTTTTTCTCTTACTTAATTGGCCTCTCAGAGTTGGTAAGACAACTCCCACCTATTCATGCTCTCTGCATGTGTGTATATATATCTCCTCAATATATATTCCACTCTATATGCATCCGAAGAAGTGGGCTGTAGTCCACGAAAGCTTATGCTCTAATAAATTTGTTAGTCTCTAAGGTGCCACAAGTACTCTTGTTCTTTGTGCCTTAGAGAGACATTTCTGAGGCACAACGCTTTCTGGGGCTACTCCTGTGACTGCAGTTTATACACCACACCTTACTGAGGGCTCTGCCTATAGGCCCAAGCTAGCCCTAAGGCATTCAGCAGCTAAGCCAAACACAATCTTGAAAGTAAGAGTCATGTATTATGTAAAATGACGCCACTGACATAAATTACTCTTTTTCTTGCTTCTCAGCAACGCCCTGTCAAGCAGTCCTTGAGTGCCTCCATGTGCAGAGAATCCCACTGGAAATGCCTCCTTCTTTCCATCCTTATGTATGGCTGCCTGGGTGCTGTGGCCTGGTGTCAGCTAGCTCGAGTCACCAAGCTCAGCTTTGATAGCTCCTTCAAAGGCAAGTCTATGATCTACCACGATAGTCCGTGCTCTGATGGCTATGTCTACATCCCCCTAGCCTTCCTCACCATGCTGTACGTGGCCTACCTGGTGGAGTGTTGGCACTGCCATGCCAAAAGCGAACTCCAGTACAAGGCAGATGTGGACAGTGTCTATGACCGTATCAACCGCATGCAGCAAGCCACTCCCTGTATCTGGTGGAAGGCCATCAGCTATCACTTTGTGCGACGCACCCGGCAGGTGACCCGGTACCGCAATGGTGATGCCTATACCACCACGCAGGTCTACCATGAGCGGGTCAACACACATGTGGCTGAAGCTGAGTTTGACTACTCTCACTGTGGATTCAAGGACATCTCCAAGGAGCTGCTAGGCTTAGAATGCTACACAGCCACGAAGCTGAAGTTCACCAAGTGCTTCAGCTTTGCCAACACAGAATCAGAGAACTCCTACCTGACCCAGAGGACTCATTTTTTCACAGAGATTGAGGGGCTGGATGACTACATGGAGGTCAGGGAAGGCATGCAGCTCAAAAACATAGACTTCAAAGAGCTTATGATGGCCTATGGGGACCCAGAGCATCTCCCATGGTACGTGTCCCACTATACTTTCTGGGTGGCAGCTGTCTTGATGATTTCCTGGCCACTGCGGGTGCTCATAGAGTATCGGACTGCGTACGTGCACTACCATGTTGAGAAGCTCCTCGGCCTAGAGTACACAGTGCCCGGCATAGCAGAGGAGCCCCTGTATAGGTATCGCATGCCCCGGGATAACACTCAGGACAGCACTGAACTGGAATGGCACATCTGTACCAACCGACAGCTGATCCCCAGCTACTCGGAGGCCATGCTCCTGGACCTGACAGACTCCCCTGTGTACAACGGCTACTCCATGTGTGGGTACAGTGAAATAGCTCATGGCTGTGAGCGCTGCAACCAGGCCTCCAGCAACTCCTCCATCTTCTCCCGCTACGCCTTCCACAGTGGCAGCGGAAACTCACGCCTCTCCCTCAACACCAGCCGCTTCTCTTTGTGCCGGGTTCATGGCTCCCACAGGACAGGCCTCGGAAGGAGCTGCAGCAGCAGCATTGCGGACCGTGGCTGCCAGGATGAACAATGTTGCTCTTACTCTAGTCAGCTAGCCATCAATGAAAACCCACCCACCTACCAGGATGCCCGCTTTTTCCCAGTGTTAATTGTGCACAGGCCTGAAGGGCACGAGGGGAGGCGCTTCTACATCCGGCGCTCATCCTGCCTGGAGACGTCTCTGTGATCAGGCCTTATGGCTCTATGGCTCCTCCCTCTCCGGGACAGCTCCATTGCACTAGTGCTGTTTGACAGAGATGCTATCAGCAGGGAAACCGTTAACTTCAAGACTGTGCCACCACACACTAGCTCCACAGGGCAAACTCTCCAATTCTAATTCCCCTCACTGCCAATGCAAGAAAATATATCCACTCTGACAAGCAGCTACTCGTTTCTCTTCCTCACATTTTCCATTACTTCCCCATCACTGGGTGTCCCCTCTCTTTTTTCCTCTTGTCTCCCCTTCTTCTGCTCATCAGTCACCCTTTTCCTTTCTTCCCCTGTTTCTGTCTCCTCTCTCATTCCCATCTCCATCCTCCCCTCACATTTCAGTCATTATACTTTGCACCACAACAGCAATTTTCACCTGAGGATCTCAAAGCACTTTGCAAACACTGATGCATTTAGCCTCCCAACTCTCTTGTAAGGCAGGAAACCGAGGCCCAGAGAGGTTAAGTGATTCGCCCAAGATCACACAGCACGTCAGTGGCAGAGCCAGAAGCAGAATTCAAATCTGCAGACTCCCAGTCACCTGCTGTTACCACCAGACCAGGCTTATCTTTCCCTCCTCCTTCTCTCATTTACTCCCTCCCTCTTTCACTGTCTCCTGTTCTTCTCTGTCCACGCCTGTCTTTCTTTCTGGCTGTCTCAGTTCTGCTCCTTAAGTTCTCGTCATTCCTTCCCAGGGTCTTAGAGAGCTGGATCTTGCCTAATCAAAGTGTCTTCCTTGTTTTCCAGGTACAGCCATTTAGTACTGGTAAGAAATTATATCTACACAGCACAAGTGTAATGGTCCATTTGTATAAACAAAGGGCCTGATACTGAAAGGTGCTGCGCACCTAGCACTTTCGCTGAAGGGTCAAGCCCCAGAATACTGAAGTTTACCAGTAAAAGGAAAGAACATGCTCCATCCCACCTTTCCTCCTACCCCATCACGCTCCCAGGCCTTGTCAGTAAACATTTCCTCCTGTTGCTAGCCCCATTTCCACTCTTCAGAGTTAGCAATGTTGGAGGCACTAATGTAGACTGAGTGCTGGTTGGCACCACCATTTTTAGCATTGTGACCCTATTTCCCAGGTACTTCATTCCCACACCTGGCACAGGAATGTGGTGGCCAAGAGGCAAAGGTGGTCTTTTGTCACCTTTGTGCTCCCCATATTCTGGGGCTGTTTGGGGGTTGCCACAGCCCTCAGTGTAAGTTAGAGCAACCTCAGAGCTGCTCTAACTTAAACTCTGCTTCCCATGCCTTCTATGGGCCCTGGGAAACAAAGAATAGCTGTAGCTCTGTTTACTAAGCTACATCCCCTGCCCCATTCTCAGCATCCCACTCCATCACCCCAACATCAGGGGTTGGGAGCACAGCTGTATCAGGCTAGTTCTATGCTGGCTAGGAGACCCATTTTGCAGGGGTATCCTTGGGGTGCTGTTTCTCCTCCTCATAAGGCCCCTTTATGCTGCCAGACCATGGTAAAGGTGCCTTAGTGTAATGGCAGATTGGCCCCTGTGTCATCTAATCCTGCTCAGAGCAGGTCTAAATGACACACTAGTTAAAATAGCAGCGGCAGCCCATGACACATGTACAACAGGGTACTCTACTGCCGGTTGAGCTGAACTGCCGCTAGCAACAATAAACAAGGCTCTAGGCTCAGCCAGTGGCATTCCTGCTTTCTCATCTTGGGAGTCAGCATTTTTTAAACATTTCCTAGCTCCAAGATCTGAACGAATCAAAGGCGGCTGGCCGTTCTCAGGAACTGCGAAGGGACCATCTCAGAATGCAAACCTGCATCCAATGAGTGATCGTCTAACACTGAACAAGACCTAGAAATGTTGTTGGGTGGATTGTGGACATCATGATTATCAGTGGCTTACAGTGAATATCAGAATGCAATACAGTATTTTTCAGAAACAAGGTGTTTTAATACCACATGGCTAATAAATAAGAAACATTGTCCACTAAGGGATTGTTAAAAATGCTTACTCCCAAATCAGTTTCTTATATATCTACTTGTAATTTGAAATCTGTACTGTCTGTTTGGTATGTGTAGATCAGATCTGTATCTATACATATACAGTGATTTCTTATGGCATTGACTGTTGCATCATGTAAAAATCCTTTCGGTTTAATTATTCTGTTTTGTAATACTGCTTTTATTTCAACACGAGAGATAGGGATTGCTTTCACATATGCAACACAAAGTTCATCTGTAAATGATGGTGATTGCAATCAAAAGGTTGTCTCAGTCTACAGGAATTTATCTATTTCTATAAATGTTTTATGCAAGTGCTTACCACTCTGACAGCTAGGAACTAATTACAAAAGTTAGGAAACATACCTGATGCTTTTAGTTTATTACTTTTAAAAAAAGTACTTAGAGTTACCTGCCCCAATGCTTAGAAGAGCCGGATCTAGGTTTGGGTGAGTTTTCAGAGATGGACTCAACCCAAAATCTCAATTGTGATAAACCTCAAACCTAGGAAGAATTCAGACCTAGATTCACACTATAATGAGCCACCCAAACCCTCAGATCTGAACAACGGCATACTCCACCACCACTCAGAACAGGGGGAGATTTTAAATCTAGATCAAGAGTCAGGTCTGAGCTCTATAGCTTGAGTTCATCTCTAATTATTTTTAGATGGAGTAGTTGAGACTGTTTAATATGATTCCCTTTCTCCTTTACATACACACACGCGCAGAGTTAAACTGAGAGCTTATGAAAGACTTAAGAACTGGAGGAGGCTGCAGCTTCCAGAAATACAGGAACTGGACACATTTCGGCATTATTTCCTACTAGAAGAGGTGATGGAGAGGTAGAGGAGAGGGAGAAGGGAACACGAAAGGAGACAGAAAAGGGATGATAGAGGCATACACACTAAGTGAAAGGAAGGGGCTCAGATGTGGATAAAGATAGCTCTCAGCCTGCGATCACACAACCATGTCAGATAACAAGGTTACAGTGCGAGTACCCCCAACACAGTTAAAATGTGGTTCAGTCTTGGAGCGTAGCTGGAGCCTACATCTCTGAACTGTGCGAAAGCCCCAGTCACGTCCAAGGCTCTAGCGCAGTCAGTTTGGGGACATGGTTAAAAGGATATTTAGGTGCAAGACTGAGACTGACCCGTGTTTCAACTATGTCCAGGGACAGCCGTATTGTAAGTGGGTCCCTAGACATGGTTATTACTGTGTAAAAGTTGTTATATGATGTAAACAAGCTGTAACAAATCCATTATTATGACGGGTTGGGCGGAACATGGGAGACAACTGTTGCCAAACCAATTAATTTTCAGTGAAATGTTCACTAGGTATATGCAGGAGCGCCGCCAACTTTTCTGCCACCCTAGGTGGCGGAAGGTCCTGCCCCAAAATGCCGCCCCCCATAGAGGCGGCGGAAGGTCCCGCCGCCGAAATACCGCCACGGTTGCCGCCCCCCAAATGGTAGCGCCCTAGGCGACCGCTTAGGTCGCCTAATGGGTTGCGCCGGCCCTGGGTATATGCATTACCTCCATCAGAATGTCCCCCATCTCCTTGGTTATATCCTTGGCAGGGCTTGAAAAGCCCTAAGGATTCCCACCAAGTTTTCCTCCCCCCACTTTGAACATGCCTTGGGGCATAATTGAGGAAGCTACACCTTATCTTAGCAGGCCCACACAGCTGGGTTAGCTTCAGAGCTCATTCATGCTATTTGACAAAACAAAAAGCCCGATGCAGCTCCCATTCTGACCTAGTGCTGAACATGCTGGTTCAACCATCCCCAGCCAGCTCAGGAAGCATATGAACAGTCATCTTGGATCTCCTTCCCCACAGAGCAGAGCTACTCCTACTACTTGAATGGCACTTCACTGTCACTCTTGCCAGCACTTCAATTTACTAATGCAGGATGACAGGCCTATCTTCTAACAACTGTGGGAACAACTTGTGCCCTTTGAAGCTAAAGTCAGAGAATGGAAAGAACTGGACATTCACATCTTGAGTGTGAACTACGTCAGCTGTTTGGAGACCACCTCATTTAAAACATGGGGAATGCATGTACAACTGCAGGGGGATAGCGGTAGGCAATGACAAAGATGGATGTAATCTAGTAGTCTTTGCAGAACTTGATCCCTTTTGACACACAACAGGGACACTGGGACACTATAGTGAGGCCTTTATTTTGCAGCCATCAGAGAGAGGCTGCGATGATAATGAAGACAACAGGGCTGCCGGGGGGGGGGGGCAAGTGGGGCAATTTGCCCCAGTCCCCGCAGGGGCCCCCTGAGAATATAGTATTTTATAGTGTTGCAACTTTTTTTTTTATGGAAGGGGCCCCCGAAATTGCTTTGCCCCAGGCCCCCTGAATCCTCTGGGCAGCCCTGGAAGACAAAGCTGCTTTCTCTTTTGATGGCCAGTTCTTCTTTTGTGGGCTCATTTTTCAGCAACCCTCATAATTAGAGCTGGTTGAAAAACAGAGCAAAAAAATCTGGCCAATATTTAAAAGAAAAATTTTCCCCTTGCCTTTAGAAATTTGTCAACACTTTGACCAGCTCTACAGTTGCTCAAAAAAAGGGGGGGGGGGGAAATAATGAAAATTTCATCACTAAATATTTCACCAAAATTTTGAATTTCAACATGCTCTGTTGGCACGTGACCCTTTGTAGGGCTGAGCTCTTTCTGCCTTTGCCAAAATGCAGATAAAGCATCCAATGGGTCAGGTGAAACATAACACCGCAATATCAAAATACAGGAAGGAAGGAGATAGATTAATTATGAGTCATTGTGGTGTGTGCTTTATAAATGGATGTGTAATGAACATTGTCATTGGTAGTCTAGGGCCAATACTACAAGGGCACCAGTACCCAAAATCATTGAAACTGAAAAGCAAGAAACATTTGTTCATGATCCTTTGAATCTTAAAAGCATTCAAAAGTCACAAGTTCTTTTTGATTTCTTCATGGTAATATAGCACTTCCCCATAAGTTTTCCCACAGCAGTTTGCAGTCCAACTGGCAAAGAATCCAGGATTTCAGTCCAATTTTCACACAGTTCTTCCTCCTTATCATTGCGGATATAACCGACTTCTGAGACGATATGAGGCCAGATCCTCAGCTGGTGTAAGTCAGAGTAGTTCTGTTGAATTCAATAGAGCTATGCCGAGTTATTCCAACTGAGAGTCAAGCCTATGGCCCTTAACAAAAAGTTCATATCACATACTCACGTTTGCAGAAAAAGCTGCTCCTGTAGGCTCATTTTTAGGGACACTGGTAATTAGACCTAGTTAAGAAACAGGAAAAAAAAATCTGGTGGACGTTTAGACAATTATTTTCTATACTTGGTCAAAAATGTTTAAAATAATAACCATAAAAGAGTAAATACGTATTTCAGATCTCCCAGCAATTCTTAGGTGCATTCTCTATAGTTTCCTTGCCTTTACTTGAACTCACTGCCAAGATGAGGAGACGGGGCTGTGTGTAAGATAGCACATCAGATAAAAATCTGTATGTACAATTGTTTATATCTCATATAAATCTCTTGGGCGGCAGATCTCTTTTTCTGTGTGTCAGTTTTTCTATTATTCCATCTTGTTCTCTGCCCTGCTGCAGTTTGTTTCAATTATCTTGGCCCTGAGCACACTTGTATGTGAAACATTGTCTAATAATTACAGCATGGGACTGGGAATCAGGAAAAATGAGTCAGTCCTTAACTATGCCACTGACTCTCTGTGTGACTTTGATCAACTCACTTCATTTATCTATATCTGAATTTCCCATTTATCACTGCCTCAATTCCCCCTTCTCTAAATTGGGAATATTTTATACCCACATCAGAGGGATACTGTGACATTTGTAAACCTCAACAGTTGAAATCCTTAGATGAAAGATGCTGTAGAAATGCAAAGAGTTCATATAATTCCCATTACTCTTCACACAAGGCTGCTAAACCTTGAGAATATAGTTACTTTCTATAAGCAATGACCCACATAAATGTGTGCATCAATATACAGCATATATAGCTAGATCTGTACATGTGGATTTAAGGGAGAGAGAGAGATTAGCTACAGTGATTATACTGGAAATGCTTTATACTTTTAGCAGTCATATACACTTAGCATCATAGCCCAAGAACTGACAAGAGCACCATAGTCCCCACAAAGGATCTGCCATAGATTCCTCACCCCAAGAGCACCATGGCTCCCTGCTAGCTGTTTGATATACCTGATTTGTCAGTGTCTCCTCCTTGCCTTTTCATTTCAGATTGTAGAAACAGAGGAGGGAGAGAAAACACATTTTCATTCCAGTCATGCACCCTTCTTGGCATTGTTCCAACACCTTAGGGATTCCTAACAGAAATGCAAATGGATGAAGATTAGTATGAGTGCAGAGACCAGAGCCCGGGGCTTGGGAAACACTGGCATAAGTTATGTAACCCTGTTGTGCCTCAGTTTCCTCATCTGTTGAATGGGGATAGCAATACCTCCCTTCCTCACAAGGGACTTAATTCACAAATGCTTGCTGGGGAAGCCTGAGATGGAAGGCACCATACAAGTGCCACACGTATTAACTATGATTACAAATTGAAAATTGCACTGTGCTATAATGATATTTATGGTACCTTTCAGCTATGGTTCGCAGGGTGATTATGATGGAAGTACAGTGTCAGGGCAGGGGGGCTGGAACAATTTGTATAGTGGGGTGCTGAGAGCCATTGAACCCAACTGTAAACCCTGGATAGGATGGAAACCACTTCAAGCCACAGAGTGAGGCAGCACCCTCAGCAACCCTAGTTCCAGCACCTGTGTGTCAGGCTATTTGTTATAACCTTTACAGGATTCTTTTCCCCCTCTGGAAGCTAAAATCTGTTCCCTTTTCATAAGCTACATCATCCCTTACATTTTGACAAGCAAAGGGGGCCCAAATCAAGTCGACCAGACCTGGGGGACACAGAATATCCCCCAACTGTGCCAAAGCTCCTCTGCAGACGAGCTGCAGGGACTAGGCTTCACATATTGGGAGGAGGTTGGCCTTGGTATCATTTCCCCACCATAAGCCTTGTGGGGAAATACCTCTCTAGCATAATGCCTCATCAGTCAGCATTACCTTCAGTGCCTCACTGCTGCAGGCACTTCTAGAGGGGAGGGTTGAGGGCTTTGCTATGAGGAGATGCAGGTCCCAAAAGCAGTGCAGAAGCACAAGTGCACAGTGTGGATGACCAGGCCTCTTCAGTGTTTGGGAGATCTTCTGGGCTTGGGTCTGAACTGCCTAGTTGTGCTTGTGTCAGCAGCACAATCCATTCCCTCGCTCCCAGAGAGTGCAAATCACAGGCACTTCTGCAGGCGGAAACCGAGGACAAAACTTTCAGACAAAGTTACCTAGTAAAATTAGTCTCCTAAAGCCATAGTTAGACACCAAAATAAGTGGTCTGATTTTCACATGCATTGACCAAGCCCCCAGTGACTCTCACTGATTTCATTAAGAGGTATGACTGCTCAGAACCGCTGAAAATCAGGCCACTTATTTAGGAGTGTACATATGGGTTTAGGACCCTAATGAGCACCCAAATTTGAATATTTTTTTGCTTTTAATCTCCTTCTCCTAAATGCCCCCCTCCGTAGTGGACAAGCTAACCACAAAATGGTTTTCCTCCACCCCATAAGCATGCCCCCTTGTTTGTTGTAGGGTTGCTCACCACACAGCTGCTCTGCTGGCATTTATTTAAAATAATAAATAGCACCAAAGCATTTCCTTGGGGGGGGGGGGGTAAAAGCCATATAAAGAATTACCTGAATCTTGCAAATAAACTCTTGCCAGGAAGGTAGGTTACATTTTGACTGATGCAACTTCGAATATCCCTTTCCCTCAGGAAATTCCTGGGGGAGACACTGACTCTGCAGATGTTATTTTCCACTTTATTAAAACTTCAGGAAGCTTGGATAATAAATAGATTCTATAAATATTCATGAGGAGTGATGTCATAGGTAGGTGTGTGGGGAGGGGGGTGCAAACCAGCTCTGTGACTGCCTGACAGCGCCATTTCCTGGAGGAAGAACAGGAATAAGAAGAGCCGAAGGAATTAGCAGCAGCAACAACAGCAGAGGGTGCCCAGAGCGAGAGAAGCAGCCGTGGCTGCGGGGACTCCATGCAGCCCGAGGCCAGCAGAGGGAGACCGCCCTGCCTGGCATTCCCTCTCGTGTAGAGTGACCCGCTCTGGGAGGAGGGAGGAAAAAGCGATCGGGATTTTGGGGGCTTCCTGAAACTTCCCCTACACACTCCTCCACCCCGGGCTGGCGCGGGGCAGCAGCAGGGCCCGCTCCCGCCGAGCGAGCCCAGGGGAAGCGGCGTGAGAAGTTTGCACTGCAGCCTCCCCTGGGAGCTTCTTGGGAAAGGCACCGCTTTGGGGAGGGGGGGTTCCTTCCTCCTCCTCCTCTCGGAGCAAGAAGCAGCCGCCAGCGTGGAGCTGGGGGGGATGCTGCTGACGATGAAGATGCGGGAGAGATGGAGATGAAGCAGAGCATGGGGATCCCGGGGCTCCTGTTGCTGCTGCTGGAACTATGGGCGCTGGCGCTCCGGGACGCCGCTGCTGAAGCAGGTAAGGCTGCAGGGGCACAGGAGGGAAGATTGCCGCTCGCCCCGGGGAGGAGGCTGAGCGCCGACCCTGGCAGGCTCTGTAAGGGGCTGATCTTCCGAGGGGTAGCGTGGAAACGTTTGGCCCAGCGGTTCTCGGCTGCTTTGCTGCTGCGGTGGTATTGAACCTGACGCCCAGCCAGCGGCGGTTGGCTTTTGCCCTGATCGTCAATTTCAGGAGCGCTGGGTCCGCCCCGCTGACACTGCACTGACTCCACTCCTGGGTCCGGACTGCGCGCAGGAGACGGGGCGGAGAAGGGGTTCCCCGGGGGGCTCCCTTTCTAGACCTGTCCACAGCACTTGACGGAGTCCTTCTAGTCTCGAATGTATTGCTCAGATCCTCACCTACTTCCTAATCAGCTGGAGCTGAGACAAGTTACACTCCCCTGGCGAACACTATATCTTATGCGGGAGGAGAGGGAAGGTGACGATTAGCTTTTTGGAGGGCTGAGGTCTCCCTCCCGGCGCAATCTATGATTGTGAGTTGCTCTGTATGAATTGTTTTCATCGAACTATTTTTTATAAACGTAGCTTCTTTTTTATTGTTGCCCAATTGCCCGTAAATAGGTCTTGATTTTGACGAATTTAGTTGCTATTTTCAACGGCATAACACTTTTTGTGAACAATTTTTAGTATATGTTCTCCAAATGGTTGGGATGCACCATTTGCTCTTTGCACCATGTGATTGGTCACCCAACTGGCATGGTAATGTTTCTGTCCCCTGATGGGATGACTTGGGCCATAAAGAGTGCTTAAAGTGAGGCTCCTCAATCCATATTTAGGCACCTAAATAAGTGGCCTAATTTTCAAAAGTGATGCTCCACATCTCTGACAATGAGACCATTTATGGATCAGGCCATCTGTGCCTAAATGTGGGTTGAGAAGCCACAGTAGGCAGCAACATTTGAAAATGTTGCCCTCAAGTTTTCTATCTCCCACACACGATGTCCTTTGTAGTGGAGGTTGACTTCAATGGGACCTGCTGATGGCTCATCTCTTTTGAAATTCAGGTTGCTTATTTATGTGCCTGTATTTGGGGAGGGTCTAAGTATATATAATCCTGCCTCAGTGCATTTGTGGGTGGACTAGATAATCTCTTGAGATCCCTTCCAGTCCTACATTTCTATGGATTAAGGAGCCTAACTTTAGGCATCCATATTTGAAAATCTTGTCCATAAGCTTTAAAAACATAAAGACGTCCCTTTTCTGTTTGTGAATTATCCACCAATGTTTGACTATGTGTGACTAATAACAAGAGCTTTCCAAAATGGTGAAGAGATCACTTCTAGAACAAATGCTGGTGGGAATACTGATTCAACACTCATATTTATGAACCTTATGCTTGCTGTGAATATTCTTGTGAATAAGACCTAGATGGTGGCAAATAAATAGAGTCCTGAATACCATTTAAGTGAGTCAGTGGGAATGTTTGCAAATGTATTGTTCCTGTATTTGCGGAGCTCAAATTGCTATATAGGAAGGCTAGGTGATAATCCATTTTTACATGGCTTTTGTTTGTTTTCCTTCTAGCCTACATTTTCCTAGTTTCACCTACAAGTAGACATACAAAGGTTTGATTTTCTAGCCTAATCCTTCCACATACACATTTCCTATTGACTTCACTGGGAATTTAGGTCTCAATCCTACATTTAGATCCACATGGGTGGAGCACTGTTGGTTTCAAGGGTTTGCCTTGTAGATTTTGATTGCTAGATTGGGGACCTCAGGCATCAAAGGAATGGAAGGTCTTTTTGCCTTAGTAGGTAAAAGTCTGCAGTTATCTGTTTCTCCCTCCACTCCAAAAACAACTTCAAAAAACTTCTGTCAGTAGTAATCAAAAGGTACAGAGATGATAAGTTAACAAGTAAAATACACTGTGCACAGAGACAACTGGTGCACTCATTTGTTGTCAGTTCTGCCTGACAGGCAGTATGAAGTTAATATGATTTCATTTCCTAATTAGTTATGAATCTTTACTTCTACAGTCATCATATTTTGAAAAAAAATAGCTAGTTTTTATTTCCTGCACTGGTAAAAATGGAGAGTGGGAGAGTAGGAGGAGGAATACTGGGAAGTAAACATTAGTCTTAACCTCTCAGATGTACAAAAAGTCCAAGCCAACCTGTGTGCACCATTCCCTTCTCTTCAGAAAAAGGTCCTGCAGCTAAACTGCATCTTATGGATGACAGAAATGTGTATCTGTTAAAAATCCCCATGTTATTATTTTCCCTTTCCTTTCAGTTCAGCTCTACTTGTGGATTACAAAGAAGTACTGTTGAAAATAGCCAGATAGATATAGGTAGCACTGTCCTTTAATTTCTTGCATAATCAGTTTGGCTGGGAACTGAAACCTTTAAAGGCCTTCCAGATATCTTGTTGTGTACATTGTGATTAACCCTTTCGGCAAAGCAGAGTGTAGCAAACTTAGTCATTTGCTGTTTCAGTAAGGCACCTATTCTGAAAGAGTGTCTGCCAATTTCTGTGTGCATTTGGATACCTGGCTACATTTAGGTTTATATAAAACAGATGGATGTATTGTGAAATTTTAATGCTCTGTTTCAATATTCTGCGTGGTGAGAAGGAGGATGCTTTCTGGATGCACCGGGATGTGTAATTTATGCCACTTTCACGTTAAGTAATCTGAGGTTAGATCATCCTCACTCAGTTAGGTGATTAATTCCTTTGCCCAACCAAAGCTGCATCTAAAATTAAATGATCACTTTACTAGTTTCAGTGCTCTTAATAAATTTGCTAAATTAACAGTTGCTAAAACACAGCTTAAAATACACAAAATACTTTTCTGATATCACTATGCCATGGAAGCATTTGCCACTTTTACCAGTGGGATGCCATGTAATGGCAAATGGGAAATGGGGCACCAGACTATTTCTGTATTCGAATGCAATTCATGCTATGAAAAAGTTTGAGAACAGCATGGCTGCATACTTAAGGGCAATCTTGGCTTCACAGTGTTTTTCTATCGGGGTGTGGTGGGCTGGAATGTCATCTGGTGATAGAGCTGACTGCACGTGAGCAGAGATAGGGTCATAATTCTGCACGGCTGGTCAAGGGCAATATAGTGGTGGACAGGTTAACCTTTCTCTGAAGGATCTGGTATAGGCCACTACCAGAGGTAGGATACCAGACTAGACTGAACCATTGGTCTATTCTAGTCTGCCAGTTCCTGTGCTAATGGAAAGGAAAAGGCTACTTTCCCCAGCAGGACTGAATACTTTACCTTTGTCTTCCACCTTTCTGCTTTATCCAACGTCTCCTTTACTCCCCTCATTCCTCATATACATACCCATCTTTTAAAAATGTACTTATCCAGTTGGTTTCTGTGTTTTTACAAGGTGACATATTCCACACATTCACTTCTCATTGAGGGGAGTGCTTCCCACCCACATGCAACTGCGCTTTGGGCCAAACGCTGATCACTTTTACACCAATGTCAGTCACAGTAACTCCACTAATTTCAGTGACGTTATTCCAGATTTACACTGATGTAACAGATCCAAATGAGGCCCTTTGTCTCTGTTCTGGAGATACACAGTGGCTGGCTGAAGTATTCTCCCACCACATACTATGGAAAAATGTGTTCTGGAAACAATTTTTTCCTCTGATAGGAATCCTTTAAAGTAGGCTTTACTTTCACTGGCTTTATAAATTGCATTGGCGCTTTTGTAATGCAGTGGAACACTGAGTAACCTGCTGTGATTGAGTCTAAAGTCCCAATTCTTTACAAATGCGTACAGTGGAACAGAAGTATGACTTATTAGTAGTATAGGAACATACCATAGCAGCTGAAAAGTGAGAGAGGACTTGGGGGCAACACGATGCCGTTCTGAGGGAACACACACATCACCATTGTCAGAGCACTGCTGTGAAGAAGCTCACGGCATTCCTATCTAGCTGTAATGGGGCACTGCTGTGTGGAAGCTCATCCTGCTGCTATCCAAATTGGCACTGGCTTTGAAGAAGCCCTGTATAGATTAAGCCTCCGCCATTTTCAAGTAATTGGAATGTCAGTGTTCTCATTTTATAATCATGAAACAAACATAATAAGGCTCTGGCGAGGCAGTTAGAAAACTGTGCAGTGTGTTCTTTTGTACTGTATGTCCTTACAGACCACCAACCTAGATTAATTTGCTGTACTCCAACCCCCACTTCTTTTGGGGCTGGGGAGGAGGAGTATTTTTTTTTTAGGTATGAAATTGACAGGATCTCCAATCAAATTAAAGGTGTCCCAGGGTCAGCCGGTGAAACTAAATTGCAGCCTCGAGGGAATGGAGGACCCAGAGATGTTGTGGATCAAGGATGGAGCGGTGGTGCAGAGTGTAGACCAGGTGTACATTCCAGTAGATGAAGAACACTGGATCGG